CTCCCACCCGCACACCGCCCCCCCCATCGGCTCGCCCCCCAAAGCACACCGCCCCCGGCTCGCCCCCACCGATGGGGTGGTTGATGTACGGGGTCCCCTCGGGGTCCTTCCGCCGCTGCTGCTTGTGCTTCCGGGCTGCGAAGTCGGCGGCCTCCAGCAGCCGGGCCGCCTCGGAGCCCATTGCCGCGGGACTCCCGGCACCGCAGAGCATGCCGGGAACGGCCTGCCCCTAGCCCCGCCCCGCTGCAGTGTCCCGGGCCGTGGCAAGCCCTGCAGACCCAGCCGCTGCAGTCCCGGGCCCCCCCAGCGCCGGGGCTCCAGCCCCCTCCAGCGGAGCCGGGGACCTGGAGCCTGGCCACACCTGGGACCTCCTGGCCTGTGTGAACCGCCCTTCCCAGGGACCAGAGCCGGGCCGCTGCAGGCCAGGCTGCCAGAGGCTGCAAGAGCCTGAAACACTTGCTCCAAAGGGTACAGGAGGGTAGTGTCTGAAACCCCCTGTCCCACAGCCACCACCCCACTCGGCTCCCCGAGCCCAGGAACGCTCAGCACCCCAGGGGGTAACACGCCCGCTGCACAGCCAGCGGTGCTGCTCCTTGGGGTGGCATTGCGGGAGGGGACGCACCTTGGGCAGGAGGGTGCCAGGGGCCTCCTCAGCAAAGGGACCGCCGCAGCACATACACAGTGTGACCAAGTCCAGGACAGGGTCCCGCGAGGCAGCAGGCACTTGGTAATATTTTATTTTTCCCTGGGTGGAAAGGACAGCAACATGAGCCAACCCCACGCCCTGGGCAGGCCGACAGCAAGAGAAGCCCACCCACCCCCTACCCACTCTTTTCACCACCAGACTGGGGGAAGGGCTGCATGTTGTTCTCCCCCTCCCCAGGGGCTAGTCTAGCTGGGATCCTATACAAGAAATTCCCACTGCTGTCAAAATAGTCCTGTCCTCTCTGCATCACTTTGGTGCCGGCGCCCCAGCCTTCTGCGGCCAGCTCCTCCTCACTCAGGACCTCGCCATCCCACTCTTCAGCGTCTCCTCCTGCCCAAGAGTTTCTCATGAGGGTGGCTTCCATCCCAGCCACAGGCTTGGTTCCGTCCTCCTGAAGAGGCTCCAGTTGGCCGTTCCTTCTGTTTTGCCTCGCCCCAGCTCTCCAAAGCTGCGGAGTTCTCTGGGGTTTTGGGCCCCCAGGCGCGAGAAGGGCTCCAGACTGTGCTGCTTCTCCTGCAGAGATGGCCACCAGCTCAGCTCTCCGCTCTGGACCAGGCTGCTGCTCCCGGCTCCCCTGTTTACCCAACACCTTGGCATCCTGCTTCATCCTTCGCTCCAGCGGGGGAGAGAACTTGCTCCTCAGCACCCTCTGGATGACATCCGTGCTGACGCAGAAACCTTGGGCCAGACGGGCCACGGGCCATTCCTCGGGGAAGGCCTGCCTGAGGTACCTGCAACAGAGGCAGAGTCACTGCCAGCCCAGAGCCTGGCAAGCACAGCGGTGCCCTAGTCCCACCTGCTGCTCCAGCAGCCCGCACCGGGGGCACTGGCCAGACCTGCCCGGCCCACGCTCCAGTGCGGGGCTGCCAGCAGCACCACCTCCCACCCCGCTCACCGGATCTGCTCCATGGCCTGCCAGCTCAGGCTGCGCTGGGGGGCCCCGCGGGCTCCAGCTCCCTCCGTAGCCTCCGCAGCCTCACCGCCTTCCTCTGCTGCTGCAGCACCCTGGGGAGGGAGGAAGAAGGAAGTGAGGGGCTGAGTGCACTCAGGGCCCCCATCCTCCCCCTGCCCACTCTGCCCCCCCATCCTGCCCCCGCCTCGGTCACTCTGCCCCCTCATCCTGCCCCCGCCCCAGCCACTCTGCTCCCCCGCCCACTCTGCCCCCTCATCCTGCCCAGGACCCCGCCCCCAGCCCTGCCACTCTGCCCCCCCCATCCTGCCCAGGCCCCCCCCACTCTGCCCCCCCACTCTGC